CTATATTTGAATCAACATTTTCCAAGATATCAAAGTCAACTCTTTTCTGGTAAGTTAATTTATATTAAATATCAATACAATCAAAACAGGAGGGATATTTAATCATTGTGTGTGTAGGCAGAATAGTCACCATATTCATTTCTATACATCTGAGATAAGTCTACAAGAAAACTGCAGTACATTATAATCAATCTACCAGCCCCGATACTCCATTAGGCTCTGCATTGATCCACAGGATTATGCATCCTGCCATTTGGTGCCACTGCAGGGGCTTAGATAACATGTGATGCACAAGAAGTCTTAATAATTAAAGCCTGGTAATGCAATTGAACAAAATCTTTTGACTTTTCTTTGTAAACCTGTTTTTGTTATGACATTGTTCTTTTTCAAACTGATTCATTTCCTACGGGAGGATACAATCCAAGCTGCACCACACACTGTACAGTGGTTGTGATGTTCATATTTTAGCACTACAGTTAATTAGAGACCAGAGGCAAAAACTTTGAAGCATTTTGGAATTTTGGGAGTGGATTGATCAGGAATGAATTTAATAAATTACACACATCCAGTTTGAGGCCGATTTATTCACAAGCCATTGATGTCGTTCAAAGGTCTTAACTGAAGTGAGTTACTAGGGGTACAGCGTTATCTTGATAACAGGCAACACCCATATCCTGGGACTAAATGAGCCACACCAGCACAGTGTAAACATTGACATTGCTCAATCTACCCCCATGTCGATTCACCTTACCCGGCAAATAGATCAATCTGGCTGATCTAATATAAACCATGATCTTTTTAACGATGGATAATTGAAAAATGTTTCAAATTCTTTAATCAAAATCTTAATTAGTCGACGCCTCATACCTGTTGAAGAAGCGGCTCCACAGGATTACAACTTGGTTCCCTCTCGTCCATAGCTAAATGATGTTGTTTGTAATCACGCAGAAACGAATGCGACGCAAATCCTATTGGTTAGTATGGGGACACCCTACATAATGCCCTGAAATGATCTCTGTTACAAGGTAATTATATAGTACAATACTGGAGATTACGAGATTCGTGATTTCACGTTAGTTGCTATGATAATTGCATTCATTTTACAGAGAAAACTAAAGTACCTCTAATTAAACACATCCGGGTGTTCCGAGAAGCGCACCTGCTGCAATGATAACGGTGTCACAGTCAAAATCAATAGACCGCGGCCACAGCTGTAGTTGACGAGATTTTGAGTTGACGTAGAGCTGGAAGTGAATGCAAGCAGATCTCGGTAAGTGGGCGCTGCAGCTGACATGAATTATTTGCTGCAGTGAGTAACTTGTGTCCATGTAATTTAGATATGTAAGAATAAGGGGAATAACCTGAAATACAAATTAGTCATTATAATGCTAAATGCTTGTGTCGGAAGTGACAAATTGAAAATGGAATGCAAAAATTCCATAACAATGAAAGTTGAACAAGACAAAAACTGTACAGCCAGGATTGCGTTCCAGTTCAACTGACAGCTCTTTGCGTTGTGGTGATTTGGTCATAGGACCATTGACGTTGGCTCACGATAGAAATTAAAAATACACATCGACGGATTCATTCTTTGTATCAGCATGAATCTAAATTCTTAACCATGTTGTGTGGGGTACTGCCAACATCCAGCTTTGTGCCAGATAGGTGGGATACTGATATATGGGATTTTTGCCAATGGCAGTACATCCATCTTGCTGTAGGAAGTATCTAGTTTATCTTGCTAAAACCGTGATACATGGGGATCAGCAGATATTGCACCGAGATAATTAAGATACTTTATTAAAATTTGTTTCCTTAATATGTACATGTTAGCAGTTATTTAATTAGAATTAGTCATTGCCTGTATCTCTGGTGTCTATAAACCTCTTCCCAAGTGTCAGAAGACCCATTTGAAGTTATTCACTATGCTTTTTATTATTATTTAAAGGGATAATAACTCTTCATATGATATCTATATTTCACAATAAAAACATTGTGAACAACTCATAGAAATATAATATATTCTGTTTTACCACAAAAACGGCAGTTACAGCTATTATTCTGATATATGAGCTTGTCTTCAGACCACGTGACCTCCATTGATAGCTATACTCTGTTATAATCTCTTAAGAGATTTTAACAAAAAACCAAACTTTTTAGAAAAAAAACAGGGACTAACTTTGAATGTAAAAATGGATTCATTAACCATTGGTTAGTATGGGAAAATTGTTGTTTACTCCAGGAAAATTCATTTTTTGGCCAAAACGAAGAGTTATTATCCCTTTAATAATTATTATTATAAAAGAAATATCTATTTTAGGAAGAATTAATGAAAAGCTCTGATTTCTTTAGTTGGAGGCCTTGAATTATGAATATAAACATCATCAGCAGTGGTTTACCCATTGCATTTCTTGAGCATTAATCAGCATCAGATAAATAGAATTACTAAATAATTGGTGTAAGTTGTGTGAAACCACAATGAATGTAACAACGTACTAAGCATGTATTTGGATGGCTACTGTCAGAGTGCAGGGAAAGGTTGACTGGTCATATGGTATGCAAGTTTGTCTCCAAGTGCATCTTCATTTTAGTTACACATATAGAGCAGATTAATGTGAAGAATATAGCAGATTAATGTGAAATATATAGCAGATTAATGTTTTGAACAGTTACTTCTTAACAAATTAATACTTCGATAGTCCTGAAAGTGGCATATTATGTCAGTGCTAACTTCGAGTTAAAATCAGATTTAAAATAGAAAATGAATATATTGGGACATTGAAATAAAATAGAAGAAAATCAATCAATCTGACTTTATCAATATAAGACATTAAGCTTATGAGAGAAGGTATTGTGAGCAGAGACCAAAGAGTTCAACACCCTCTGAAAAGTCATTAGTGGATCCTGAAAACATATCACCAGCCAATCATTCAGTTTAAAATCAAATTACGCTGTGTACCCAGCAAGTGAATAATGGGCCCTTTAAGTGTCCAAAACATTGGTTGACACCTTGTTGGTTATCATTGACATATCTCAGATTACAGCTGTCATGGAATGTGTCCTTTAGCTTGACGTCACCTGGGGGGCTGACGAGCTGCGGGGGTGAAGGCAGCACAGATAGTGTCTAACATACCTATATATGGTAGAGGGAGGGGAAAAAAACACTCGAAAACCGGTAGCTGTGCCTGCCTATTGACCTGAGTAAACAAGACTTGACGGAACACCCGTATTGATTTGAATAGGATACTTGTTTGAATATTTCCTCCATGATTTAGTCACTTAGCTTAAGGTTGAGAATATATCAGGTTAGTATTGAGTGCGTAGTGTGCTTTATAGATAATAGAGGTATTCTTTGCCCGGGCCTATCTCACGTAAGGTAAGGTCTTGATATTTGTCTCCATTTATGTGTTGAATTCCCAGGGGTTTTGTTGACATTTTGTTGAAAGATATGAATTTGGGTTTATGTTTGCAGTGTCCTAGTTTTTATATAGGTCTGTACACACTGACTGAGTGATTATGGCGGTAGGTATTGAAAACTTTTATTGTCCCCGAGACTCAAGTATTTATGGAATCTCATGATCACCAATTTCATCTTTGTGTTTGTATCATACAAATGTGGTGATGAATAGAAAAAAGTGTACAAGTTCAAATCATGTAGGTTGTATGGACAGGTGGATTTATAGGATAGTTTTAACTCAAAGCATTTAGACAAGGTACCTGTACACAGTGAGTAAAACCCGATTCCTAGACTTGATATCTAGACAATTAAGGCACTTGTAATGTTTTTTTTTTCTCTTTTGAAATCCATTTGTAAGATTTTCTTCTTTGAGACATCAGATTGATGTCTCATTAATAGTATCTTATATAGGTGATGTCATGATGCATGTTTTCTCAGGTGAGAAATGTGACAGGTTTATGCTGGTAGAAATATTTGCTATCATAGGAATTTTTCATGTGTAAAGTCGGTGTTTACTTTAGTTACACCTAGCATTGGACATCCATTCATTTTTTGTTTAAACTGTAACACCTGGTTTTCTAGAGATTGAAAATGTCTCATTGTGAAGCACTGATCATTCTGACAGCACTGGTTCATAAAAAAAGAAAGAATTTAGCTCAATCTGAATAACATCCACTGTATGTTCTCTTGGTTATAGCTTGTGAAATAAACTGATACTTCACCAGTCCATATATATTTCATCTAATGGTCAGAGTTTATCAGGGAATGGGGCTATGATAGGTGTGACTACTTGATGTGCACTTTAAGTCATGTGCCCCCCCCCCTCCCCTCTGCCTTACTAAAGGACTTATTCAGTTCTGTTAAAATTGCATAAGTGATGAAATGTTTCAACGATATGCTTCTAAATTAAGTACAATTTTCCTATGCAAGTAGTGAATGCCAAAGATAGCAGTCTCCAGTGACATGTTGGCACACAGATACATGCAAATATGCACGCTCACCAAATTGCATGTTCTTAATCATATGTTAGATTAGTCTCTTTAAAAGATAAATGACAGTTTAACAAAGTATCGGGTACATGCAAAAACAAGTACCAGATCACTATATACAGATATGCTGTGATAGGGGAAGCCCGTAATCCTTTGATCTTTCCAGGGTACAATCAGCTTTTTGTTTAATACATCCTTCTGTCTACTTAATTCATTGCTAATTATATATGGTTTTCTTTAAGTGACTGCTAAAGATGTACAGGACCATAGGGCATTTCCACTGGTCTTGGCTGATACTGCTGCATATCATGGTTAAGTAGGGGTTTTAAAGAGCATGCACCTGTATTAGGGTGTAATTAAGAGGGTTACAGTGTGAAGGTGAGCAAGGCAACAAATTATATAGCTATTTAGATTTAAATTACACAGCTGTTTTACTGTCAGGGACTTGTAGGACAGCTGCTTTATCAGATCATTTTGTACATGTTCCAAGTTGGCACAAGTTCTGTCATTAGCCAGGGCCAAAGTTCTGAGGTATGTTGGAGTTTTGTTTTGAGTCAGTTAATAGTAAAGGTATGTTTGATTTATCACCATCTTTCCCATAGAAAGGGACATGACCAATTATAATTTTATTCACAGAAGGGACTTACCTGTTGACAAATAGTTTGAAAGTTTGTCTTTCATTATATTGAGTAAGCAATGAAAAGAAATCATTAAAAAGGATTATATTTTTATTTGTAATTAAATGGATATTTTTATTTCCCAAATGAACTTAAGTACATGTACATCAGTTTATATTTATATATTGATAATGATTATCATGATGATAATGATGATTCAAACAATAAACAGTGCCAAACATAAACAAATAGTCCTGCACTTTGAAACAAATCTTATAATTACAAAAGTTAAGCATAAAAACATTGAAGCACACTAAATATGATGTGCAAGATATAAATTTTTTATTTCATAAGTTTTCCTACAGAAAAGCAAATGCTTTTGTATTGAAATGCTCTAGATTCTATTAATTTCTTCTTGGTGTTCCCTCTACCCTGTGCCATCCAGTGGCCTGTTGCACAAAAAGTCTCAAGCTTAGATAAAATTGGATAGCCTGCTATGCAAAGTCAATTCTGCAGTATTGGTTTACTAGTAATAGCTTATTAAGAATGATTGGGTCACTGTAAATATATTTGACATACCTACCAGTAAGTGTGCTACTTTCATCGCTGAGAGCAAACACTTTTATCAATACCATCACAATTTGCTCAAGGGACCAAATAAAAAATGAATGCAAAAACAAGGTACTAGTAAGCAAACATTTAAATTCTTTCTGAAATGCAATTATGTCAACTGTGTTTTAATAGGCCAAGATTTTAGCCCCAAAACTAACTTTACACCTTTTTGTGAAACAGCCCCTAGGGTTAGTGGAGCTGTGTTAAACATTTTACATTTTTATAGTTGTGTGTGTGTGTGTGTGTGTGTGTGTGTGTGTGTGTGTGTGTGTGTGGTGGGAGAGGGGGATAGAATCAATGTTTTAGGCATTACAAAAAAGCCATGTTTAAACATGATAGAGGTGGTAAGTTATGCAGTAGTCAAATAAAACCTTGGAACCTGGTGATCTTCTTTAGTAGATAATGTTGGATCATACTGAAATATCCTGAAACCACTTCACTAATATGATTAGCACTAGCATTCAGTATCATTTTCATGTTTACTTTTCACAGAGGTATACCTGTTTGATAGAATGATTAAGCTGATAAAGCGAAGTTTTAAATAGTCTTGTTTTGACATTGAGGTTATAAATTTAGAAGCTTACATTTTCTGAAGACAAAATTCACTAAATGTTTTTGAGTCCATGACAAAAAAAGTTACTGGTTAATTATTCATTACATTTGATGTTATGATGTTAGTGTCATACACACTTGTTTTTAGTGTTTTAATCAGGAGAGCATGCAATCTATATATAAATGTAGGTTGATATTTTTTATAGTTAATGTGTTTGCTGTTTCTACTCTGTATAACATCAGAGAAGCATGATAAGGGCCTAGGTATGTGAGATCAGATTGCGGTTTTATCGGGCATGACTTTGAAGTTGTAGGCCATAATGGAGATCATAACCTTCTGAAATCCATAGGTTAATGAATAGTGCATCTATTATTCTCTTTTTATTGCTGTGGCACGAAGCATTGGAAAACTGTAGGTTCACCTGCTACTGTTGGGTCATACGATAAGATAAATTATTAGCTTAATTACTGCATAATTTTAGATGTAATCAAAATTTTGAACTGTGTCAGTTATGAATTTGGCTTCCCCCAGCAATGTAAAGAGCTGCTTACCATTTGTCTTGAATTTACTTTGCTAGAGCAAATTTACCCAGAGAATTCTGTAGTACATACTTGGCTTGGATGTACTAGTGTGTAGAAATTTGCATATGTGTTGTTAGTGTTGTTGCCAGTGATTTTGATTTGCCTCACAGGCAGATCTATTTCTTTTTAAATCCATTTTCTCTGACCTTCTGAATAATTCTCACCTGAGACTGAGAAAAAATTGTATAGGAAAGTATTGGGTTTCATGTATTATCATTCTTCACAGGCGTTTGCATGCAGCACATTTCTCAGTCATTGTGTATCCCCTATTGCTGTAGTTGCTGAGCTATGTTCCATCTTGTGTCACTGTGTGACAGCTTATAGTAAGTGGGAGGGTTGTCAGTCCAGTACATCCCTGGCAGGGATTTTACATTATTTATCATCTGTCTTAATGCCCTTGTTATCTTATCAAATTATGCACTTTGTATGGCTGATAGCATACATTTTCAGAAATTAGACAAATGGAATTTACAAAAATAACAACCAGAGGGACATCTGTGATAAAAAAAAAAAACTAAGTGAAGTAACCCGTTTAACTGGATTGGACTCAGATTCCAGTTGTAAGGCCTCGCGGCTGTGACACATACACTCTGGACTGATACATGATGGGATGCATCAAGTCTAGTTCACCCAACACCAAAATATTGTCAGATCTCACGATTAATAAAGCCACAGGTGCTCTGATGCTGTCCCAACATTAAGTAAGTGCAAAAAGACCTTATGGAGGAAGGATACAGTCAGTTGTCTGATAAATCACCCGACGTGTATTTATGCATTTAAGATTGACACTTACAATTGCGGAATGGGATTTTAATGGGATATTAATGTTTTATGGAGATTGTGCAATACAGAGGTTAATGTGACTGAGCAGAGATCGGTGGGAAAAGAGTGTGAAGGCTCAGTGGTGACGGTCATCTCTTTTTTTACCATTCCGTCTGGTTTATGACATAAACTTATTGAGCACTTTTTAACTGTCAAGGTAAGTGATGTATGAAAAACATCAACCTTGTATGATGCACAAGATGCTTCATATTCAAATATCTTTCAGTCTCACCAAACTTAGTGGTGTATGGTTTCAAAATTATACAGTGGCGTAAAAAATGATAATAATTTGAAGTTATTAGTAAGGCGATACAGAACAGTTCAGACATAAGGTTTCAGAGCTGAGAGACGACTGGTGGGGGAATACATGTTTTTTATCCTTCTGCCTGTGTACATTTAAATCGATATTGTTACACTATAATGGGTAATATATATATATTATAGTTCCAGGCCATCACCAGAAGCTGATCTGTTATGTTAATTCCCAGTGCTGGAGGCTGCAAAACAATTGAAGAAAAGTGATTGATGGGACTGTTTGTCATGTTTCCCATAGTGATTGTGTAATAAAACATATACTAGGAGTTGGAAGTGCTACTATATTCAACTAACTCTATTCCCTCTTGACAAACCACATCTTAAAGCCAAATGGTTGATTTTGTAGTTTCAAGAGGTGCCCTGTCGACTTTTGTTTCAAAATGTTATCTTTTTTGTGTGAAATATATTATTTAAGCATATTTATCTTGTCATCAACATGACATTAAGATTTACAGGTGTATCCGTAAATGAATGAGAAGGTAACAATTAAGGTGTATATATAAATTGCATTGTCCCTGGCAGCAAACATTTATTTTTGCTTTTAAATGTTTTTATATGATTTTATATTGAAAAATTTATGTCAGCAAAAAAAAAAAAAAAAAAGAAAAAAAAACTCTCTATTTTAGATTGTTTTGTGTCTGATTATACTTTCCATCTGCTTATCTGACAGGTCAATCTGACGTATGATAATACCCAGCCTCTAATCATGCAGGGTCTTTCCTTTCTCTTTAATACATGTACCATGCACACAAAAGCATGGGGCATAATTTCCATCTTGATTTCTGTTTCCCCTTCTTATCAGTGTGCCCACGCCACTTTGTTATTTGCAAAAACTCTGTGATAGCCATAGCACAGGACAAGGCCCCAGCTTTCAGAGCAGAGTTAGTAGTTCGTAAAATCATAGTAAACTCCAGGAGAAGGTGATTAGATTGGCAAAACTGTCCAAAGGGATCTGAATCTCAAGGTAAGGATTGGTTGAGGCTGTGTGGAAGAGGCTATATATCTGCTTGAATACATTGCTAATGGTGGTCATCTTTCATTATCCTCAGGTATACCACGTGGATAACTTGATTTAGTAGCTACTGAGTCTGATTTTGCAATATTATTGCTGTCCCTGCAACTGTATTGCTGTTACATATAGGTACAAGGCGCTGACAAGGATTTTATCATGTGGACTTCAATTTTTTTGCATGTGACCTTAGAAATGTGATAAAGAGGAAATTAAATTTGGAATTTTTGCTCTTGGCAGCAGTGGGTATATATATAACTGAGAGCACTTGATGTGACAGCAGTGATATGATTAGAACGTTTTTTGTTGTTTTAAGGCTTATAGTCTTAATAATCATGAAGGATTATCATTTTGGCTATGGTATCATATTTGTTGATTATCAAGCCATTGTTTCAAAGTCTTAAAGTCCTATACTAGTAATTTCAAAAACAGCTATAGAAATGAAAGTTTGAAGATATTAAGCATGACTAAATCTTTGATCAGTTTTGGATATTGACCTAAATAATTTGTACTGAAGAAAGCTTTATTGAAGTAGGAAAAATCATAGTGATTCCCCTCTAGATCATTGCTACTGGCAGTTGGAAATCTTGATTGTTGTTCGGTTACTATCTGTCCTTTGTATTAGGGGTAATCTTGATATAGTCAGGCAGTAAGAAAATCTATACACGGATCAATGGGTAATTAATAAGCATTGATTCGTTCTGTGTAATTTTTAGACACGAAAGGGCTTTGTTCTGTTAATTCTCTGCTCTTGCTGCAGAATAATTTGGGGTCTTATTATGTGGTGTGTGATTTTTCTCCTGATTGTTTCAATGTCATTCTAATGATGACAGCTTGAAGATAGCAGGTTGAGGAGATGGACATGCAAGGCGATATTTAAGACTATGTTATATAGTCTTAACTATCGCCTATTATTTATTACCCAGAGCTTTAGAGGTACTTGTTCACCTTGTTCATTCTCAAGCATTAGCCATTTTGCCCAATTAGGAAAATAGACCTTTTTGCCAAAACTGTTCACATATTTTGTTATAATTTTTTCAAGTAATTAACATATTTTTGATACAAAAAAGTTATTTAGAAAGCAAAGTCTTAGTTTTGTTTTATTTCTGTTAAGGGTGGTTATTTATTAGTGCATGGATAATTGGCATGTTAACAACATCACACCCTATACATGCCCATATTTTGGAGCCAACAGATAAAAAAAAGTCCAATTGGACGATGATTGGTGTGGTCAAATTGCTTAATACCACAATTAAGCTCTGATGAAGCTGGCGCGTGCCCTGGCAGTTGACAATATTATCATAGAGAGTCTGAAGCTAAGATGCAATATAATTTGTGAGATTAACTTTATTTCATCCTGGAATATAATTTCCTCAAATCCGATTTGAAGACAGATGCTTCTAGTATGTGGTTTTTTAGGTTGATTAGAACTTTACCTAATCAAGCAATAAATGAGCAAATCTCTTGTGTGTTTTTAGCATTTATCAAGGGCCACAGAAACAATCATCACCGCAGAAATTATACGTTTATTGACAGATGGGAGAACTGCTTTGTTTCCAGTTAATGCAATCCTGGAAACCTACTGGTTTTTGCATGAGGCAAAAGCAAAGGTTCTTGTTTCTTATATTCTCACAGTGTAAAAATACAATACTTTGTATGTGTAACAGTACCTATATTATTAATTGAAACAATGGGGAAGTGAATCATGCAAGTGTTTACTGACGCCAAGAAAATTAGCAGTTTGAGTGGAAAAGTAAGAGGATATGAGGTTTAGCACAATGCTTATTTAGGTGCATAACATTAATAGAATGGGGCCTCTGAGGTGGACATTTACCATGATTTGTGTTACATTGTGAAGTACTGTTCCCCCTGCTCTGCTTCCATCAGCTTTGTATTGAGCTATGAATCAATGGTAAGATTTTCCTAATGTGCCTTGCATGTATTTCCTTATTCACATGCGGTGCCTGCTGTCAGAGCAGCCTAGAACACATCTTGGGGATTTTCTGGAAGAAGGTAATAGATTGAATTAATGCATTCATGGTCTCAGTCTGTATGTGAATGTAGCGCATATTTAAAGCAATATGTTGTGTTAAAAGCAGCAGCTGAGGTATATCCATTACCAAAACTCTATGTGGTTTTAAAAAAAGGCATTGCGTGAGGACTTGAATCTTACTTTATGTATGGAAATGGTGTTTTCTTATATTAATTTAGTTTAGATCTGGGTGATAACTTGTGACATGTACTAGTACTTGGCAAGAGTTTAATGATAAAAATCATGGCTGCACTCAGCTGGGGTGATGCAGGTTCAAAATTTCCTTCAACTATCATTTCACCAGAAAGGTGGTCCCAGAAGAATTGTCTGGTCTCTGAAACCACCCTCATCACTTTATAATTGCCTGTTATGGACCTAATAATAAGATATTTTTATACCCATCATTTCAAAGTGCTGATCAAGTTAGAACTACACTGTAATTTTTTATTCTCTAAAATATGGCTGACATGCAACATTGTCCTTAAATATCTTGGGAAACTTTCAAGGGCGGGTTACATTGGAAGTGGAATTATAAGGCCGACAATATCTTTGTAAGGATTTGAATATTTGATAAGTTTATTTTTCCATTGGTAGAATGCACAGGATGACGTTGTTTTAATAATTAAAGAACATCCTCTATATTTTCTGTAGGAAATGAATAATTAAAGGGACAGCACCACTGCACTGAGTGCTGCATCTGATTTAGCTGATGAAAAGCACCCAGTATCTCTTGGTTTTACATGTCTGTATTTTGAGTGTTTCTTTGTCTGAGGGGGCGGATATGAATTTCTGCCTTGATTTTGTCACACATTTTTGTGGTTCATCCAGTGCTCCTAAATTTCTATGTTCTTCACAACATAATGTATGTTGCCCGTCAAAGGAGATCCCAGTTCAGATATTACACAATCAATTGTGCTGTATATGGTGGTGTTATTAGGTGCTACAATGCCAATCATATGCTTTATTGCATATCCTTAAATATATTATGTTGAGTGCATATAGATAGCATGTTTAACTTAATACATTAAGTCTTAATGATAGCTCTATACTAAACTCAGAATTCCTTTTTTTTATTTTTATTTATAGGATTAACACACTCTCTAGCTGTTTGTTATTTTTTTATCTGGATCCTATTCATAAATATGGATTTCTGTCATCTATAAATGGCAGAAATTCAAATAATGATCCGATAATGTGTTTAGATACAGTTTTTTGAATAAATCAGTAGGTTAATGTTGACATTCAGGGTGAAGTATCTAAAGCACATCAAATTTCTGTTTTGTAGTGTAACATGCACCAGTTTTTTTTACTCCTTTGCCTTAAAGGAAAAAATATAATACTGATTTCCTGATGTTTTGGAGAGGAAGGAAGATTAAAGAGGGATCCACTTACATTTAGTTTTATAGACTCATTAATCTTAATTTTACTTCCTCATCAGACTCATCACTTAGTATATTTTCCCTTTAAAATATTTCAGATATAAGCCTGTGAGTGTATCAAAGAGACAGTGAAGATGAGTTGCCCCAGATGTGGAAAAGCTGTGTACTTTGGAGAGGAGGCCAAAGCACTTGGCAAGAAATGGCACAAGACTTGTATGAACTGTGGTAAGCACTCATAATAGAATTACACATATGTTTGACCTCACAGTGTCTTCACATTGTGTCAAGATTTCAGAAAGTCGATTTCCAATAACCCAAAAATGCCTGTTGTTACATATTCACAATGATAAATATTGTAATACTGTGTAATTGATTTTTCATTGTCTCCTCTGTTGTGAGGATAGAAAATTAAAATCGCTTCGTGAGAGTGTTTTCTACCTCTGAGGCTTGACTTTTGGGTAGAAAACCACTTAAGTCTCTTTAAAAATAATTCAATTTTTAATCATAATTATGGCAATGATAAAATACTGATTTTTCTTAATGCTGAAAGGGATAATACCTCTTCGTATAAGATCTATATTTCACAATAAAAACATTGTAAATAACTCATAGAAATATAATATATTCTGTTTTACCATAAAAACGGCAGTTATAGCTATTATTCTGATATTTGAGCTTGTCTTTAGACCATGTGACCTCCATTGATGGCTATACTCTGTTAAAACCTCTTAAGAGATTTTAACAAAAAACCAAGCTTTTTAGAAAAAAACCAGGGACTAACTTTGAATGTAAAAATGGATTCATTAACCATTGGTAAGTATGGGAAAATTGTTGTTTACTCCAGGAAAATTCATTTTTTGGCCGAAACGAAGAGTTTTTATCCCTTGAAGTACTGTCTAGATTTTATCATCAGTCAATATGAACTTTAACTTTTATTTTCTTTTTCCTTGCAGCACAGTGTAACAAGAAGTTAGATAGTTTCACCATCAATGAACACGAGGGAGACATCTATTGTCGAGGATGCAGTGCGAGGCTGTTTGGCACCAGCCCTCCATTGAATAATTCCTCCAGTCTCTACACTAATGGAAGGTAGGCAGTTGTGTGATGGAGAAAGTGTGGGGAAAGCACAATCTCCTCATGTGATTGTGTTAGTGAAGCAGTATGCTGCTCTGTTGCAATAAGGGTCTGCATACTGTTTTCCTGCAGTTAAATATTTGCCTTCAAGATATGCTGTGATACCTGGGACCTCTTCAGAAAGAGTTTTAACATATTAGGCTTAATGTAGCCTACTTATCTCAGTTAGCTAGCCCTGTAAATGAAGGCAGTGCTGTCGCAATTTAGGGTAATTTGAAGCATATTTAGATTGCCACTGTAGACCTCATAGGTTTTCCCTCATTGTGAGAGAAGTGGGGGGGGGGGGGGGGGGGGCCTGGATCTGATGTTATTGAAAATGGAGGAAATGAAACTGGCTTTGGTTTATACTTTTCATTGAAATATAAATATTTTAAAACTTGATGCTCAACACAATTCTACAAGGAAATTTTTACGTTTTTAATGTCAATATTTTCTTTGTTGAAAATTATGAGGTAATATGTATGTGTCAAAGCATCTTCATTTCCAATGTATTTTATAATTATCTTTTGATACTACTGGTATATTGGCTGTGCCACAAACAATTCAAAACTTTTGAATACTATGCATTCAGTAATGGCCATGCTTGTCAAGTTTAACAGCTATTTTGCTCTTCAACTGTGACAAGCAAACATAGTTAAATCAGATGGTAATATATTCTGACATAGAGTCATGTCCTTTAATCCAAATATAGCAGTGTCCTCGTTGATTCCACTTTTAACTGTTTGTGGAAAACACATTGAGTCTGCATGAGTCACATATTGTGTCCTCACCTTAAGGGGGAGGAAGAGGGGAAATTTTTAATTGCAGTGAATCAAAGACTAATTAGCTGTTTATTTTTTGTTAAAATATTCATTACTGAAAAACTTTATAATGACCTCTTTGGATAAATAAGACCACACAGGTAACAACCCTGGTCTCAAAAATATAAACCTAATAAAATTTGTCAACCCCCCTTCATTAGCCTCACTAAGGCATTACTATGTGGGCTGCAAGTAGCTATATAGTATGTATGTGTAGCAGTAGATATCAGAGACTCGGCTGGTGAACCACTGCTACTGAAGTCTAGCAGACCCTGACAGCATTAGACACCTTTTAACTGTTAAATAGGATAGAGGGGTGTTTTATGTAAGTATTAAGAGACATTAATTAGGAAGATTTTGTTTGTGTTAGACAAGGTGAGTTAGTTGTCTAGGCAATGGGCACAAGGTTGTAGCAACAGGTGGAAAAGCTTTCTACATCATTTCTACATTCCAGAATTCAATCATGATAATATTCAGTTCAGAACATTGATTTCAGATCATAATATCTTGGTGAGTTGAAGTATCCCAATGAGAAATCATTGTATATGGTGAACTGAACATAGCCAACAGAGGGAGGAAACTTTTCATCGAAAGGCTAATACTTACTACTCAGTTGTACGGGCATTTTGCTAACACAGGATTTAGCATCATTCATGATCAGGTTAGGTCATCACATATTTGTACAGATGGCAGGGGTGTAATGACATTGTTATGGAGTTATGATTTAGGTCACCATTAAAGTATCCAGTCACTCCACCCACCATATTAATGTGGTTGGCATTGGGTGTCTGTTTTAACAGCAATATACAGGCAGTATTCTTCTCACATACGTAGGCTTGTTATTTGTGTCACCACACGCTTTGCCTGTAGGCAGACCACAGCAGTCTGATACAGTTATTGTGAAAAGTTAAGGATGTTTCCCGGAAAAAAAAATTAAAGATCTTATCTACAAGTGCACTGAATTTATGCAACTTTTGCTGTGG